TAAAACCAAAAAACGCGCATGCGCGAAATTAAAAAAAGATAAAATGGTTACAATTTACTCATTTCACTATATATATATATATATATATATATATATATAAATATATATATATATTTTCTATGGGATCGTTGGATTCTGCGGAATCACTTGATATGCTTGGTTTATATATTTTGTATAGACTTAATGCTTATGAAGTGATTGCTTTGGATAGTTTAGGTCTTCAGAGGGATGATTATCTCATGTTTGTAAAAAATTCAACGTTAGATCTAGTCTATGGCAATTTCCAGCCATATCTGAAGGACAATGCCAGCCCGATCTATATCCATCCGAATTCCTGTCACCCACTGTTTGTAATCAGACATATTCCTTCCTCTGTAGAACGTAGGGTTATCAAAAACTCATCTAATAAAGATGTATATATGAAACATAGCAGTGTGCACAATAATATTCTTAGGAATTGTGGGTATAAATCCACTGAGATTTAGTTTAGAGAATATGTTAGTAGTCCAAAGAAAAGAAATAAAAACAGGAAAATTATCTGCTACACACCTCCGTTTAACCAATTAGTTAGTACAAAGTTACGCCATCAGTTTCTACAATTGACAAACATTATCCGAAAAGCAACCCTCTTAGTAAAATGTTTATTAGTAATATATAAAAAAAACTTAGTTATAGTTGCACTAATAATCTTCAGAAAATAATAAAGTTGTACAACAGTAGAACACGTAAACCAAAATAATAATTTTAACCATAATGCAAGTACTAATGATAATATTGTTAAGGAAAGTAGCAAATGTAATTGTAGGAATTCTAACCAATGTCCATTGTCTAACAAATGCTTAACAGAATTGCTTGTGTATATGTGTTCTATCTCTACAATAGAAATTCTGAGAGTTGAAATGTTTTATAGTAGCAGCAAAAAAATACTTTAAAAAATCATTGGTATAAGCATCTATCTTCTTTTACTAATGCTACTTATAGAAATAGTACTTCACTTACAGAATATTTTTGGAAGTTGAAAGAAGAAAATAAAACCCTTAAAGTTAAATGGAAAATTTTAAAACTGGTACGGACATGTAGATCCTTATACGAACTTTGTTTTCTGTGCTTATAGGAGAAAATGCAGATAATTAGATTTTTAAATAGGGAGGATTTCTTAAGTCAAAGATTCAAACGAACAGTCAATTGTAAACATATTTTACCTTTGACCCTGCAATTTTGTTAAACTTTAAAATTTGACAATCGCTTTTTCTTATATGTTGAATAATCTTGTGGTAAACATTTAAAACTTATCTTTAGTAAGTTAGATTTTTTCGATATAGTATAGTTTGTACGTTATTCTTCTAACATTATTGCTTAAAAATATTTTGTCTAGAGGTATGTACGGATGGCTGACGTTTTAATATTATCTATTGATTTGTTTTATTAATACTCTATATAAAACCCTTTAGTTAATAGTTGCATTCCATTGCGTATAATTTATATATTTTATTATTTTATATGATCTATGTACTAAGTTTGTTTACTCCATTTATTTAATATCCTATTTTAATTTTCAGTTTGTTATTTTCTTAAGTATTCTTCTTGCCTTTTCCTTTTCTTAAAGAGACATATTATTTACCTACTATAAAAATTTCGTTTCTCCTTCCGACGAAATATCAGACGTCGGACGTCAACATTGTAGCAAAAATTTTATTTCAAATATTACATATGTATTCGGTGAAATTTAAATCTGTGTTTCATGGCATCTTACTTAACATAGACCATTTTGACTGGTTGTACCGATTATCAGCATAACATATCTAGTTACTTTACATTTTTATACTTTCCTTATATTTTATTTCCTTTTTCTCTTCTTCCTTTTCTCTGTAGAATAGACTGTATCTTGCGTCTTTCTTTCTTGCTTGCTCTTCTTCTTTTCTTTCTTCGTTTTTCGCGGGAAAAGAGGTTGTAAGTTCTAATAATTTTTATAATCCCTATTTACGACAACCTGATGAAATGTGATGAATACACATCGAAATATGAATGCATTTTTGTAGCGGTTTCATACGGGTTCCAATCCAATATCGTATAATAAAGTACACACACACAAGCACACGCGCATATATATATATATATATATATATATATATATATATATATATACCAAATAACGCTGCAAATTTTCCTATATAGACATACATTTGGATGAAACAGTAAAAGGATGACCTTTTTTTAATAATTTTTTTTTGTAAAGCAGTTGTTTTCGAACCAAGTAAACTTCATTTAAAAACGAAATCGTCATTCTTTGTCTGTTGCATTCAACAATTATATATATATATATATATATATATATATATATATATCTGTGTGTTTGTGTGTGTGTGTGTGTGTGTCAGATCCAAGGGAGAAATCGATTTATGACAATATTAAACAGGGTCCGCCTAAATACGAATTCGGTTTACAGATTACATTTACCATGTTGATATAAGTATACGTACATACGTATATGTAACATACATACATATACTTTTAGATCAAATACGACCGTAGTGAGTTTGATCCTTACTGCGTGCTTCAGACTTTGGACCTTGTGTCACACTTAAACTATGCTTAGAATATTATTTGAACTCCTCGACGTAGTGCAAAATTTATTAAGCTTGCATCGCGACAACAATTACCACTGAGTGGTGAGTTTGATCCTCACTGGGTGCCACATATTTTCGGTTCTAGGCCACTTCTAAGCTAGGCTTAGAAAGTCAGCATACATGTACTTTAACTTGTGTGTATACGTGTCTGTTTTGAAAACAAGAGTTACTATCTAAACTTGTTGATTTACCAACGTATATACATAGAGATGTTTTGTGCAGACATAAACACACACACACACACACATATATATATATATATATTATTAATAGAGATCTTATAAGTTTAAGAAAATATACTCGCTCGGAAAACCTTCGGTATATTGATTTGCAAATAAACAAGCCAATACCAAAGGGAAAAAAAGGTATAAAAAAAAGAAAGAACCAAGAACATATACGTTAAGCGAAAATAATCGTCTAGCATACGAGTTCAAGGCCCAAAGAAAAAAACCCGATGCAAGTATCCAAAATAACTAAATAAAGTGCTCAATACAATGAGTAGAGCAGACCTAGTTAAACCTAGAGAGCCAGACAAACTTACCAAAGCTTCACCTAAGCGGATCGTCAGGGAAGCCAGCCTTCCATGACGATCCGCTTAGGTGAAACTTTGTGGTTTGTCTTGCTCTCTATGTTTAACTACATATATATATATATATATCATAAAGAAAACTTCATGTTCGGTCTATGGTATCCCCAGCATCCTTCTGTAGAACTATATTTCTATCTGTTGTTTCAAGTCTCTTCTTCATTTATGAGGAGATTGTCTGGTATTCACTGCCAAATAGCTGAACTGATATGGAATAACATTTCAGTTCTGTTTTCTTTGTTTCTAATGAAATTTTCCTGCCTCTTAATACCCTGCTTAGCTTTTGAAATGTATCTTTCGCTATTCCGGTGCGCCTTGGAATTTCAGTGTCACACTTTCCGTTCATTTACCAGATATTTAAATTTGTGCACTTTTTCATATCGATATCTTCAATTTGTAATTTGCATGTCGGGCTGTCCCTTTTGCTAACATCTATGTCTTCTTGCAATTGATGTTTAGTCCTTTCTTCTGGCTTTCCTTCACCGCCTTCTGTAGTACTTGTAGTTTCCTTGCCGTGTCTGCTCTCTGTATATCTTATGTTGTTAAGATTGTGGCCATCAGTAATAAATCCTGGTAGGACTTCTAGTTCTCTTAGAATCGCCTCACTGTACAGGGTAATAATTATGTCGAGAAGACACATCCTTATATTACACCCCTTACTATTTTTTGTATATTTACTGAACTCGTTTGCTATTAACTGATTGAAATGCTGTTGAACAAATTAATTCCCTAACTCCTCGAACGCTGCCGATATCAAAGTTCACAATCACGTTATCAAATCTGTAATCCTTTCAATGACTACGTGGTATATACTTCACTTTGTTTATATACAGTTTTGAATTCTGTTTTGTCCTTCTCCTAGTCTGGTTGCCAAGGCCGGCTAGAGAGCCAAATCTGTTCTGTGTTTAATTTATAGCATCTTTGGGGAGATCACCTAGCACTCACTGCCATACAGGAACACGTATATCACGAAGCAGAATTCTTCTTTCTTTTTATGTGCCATGTCCTTTCATGACGATCGTGGCTCTCCGCCTCCCTCTATCCCTTGCAGCTCTCAGCAAGTTCCTTCCCCACCTGTTTCTTCCCCCAGAACACTTGCTCAAGCTCGCCAGGTATGTCACGCGTTGCTTTTCCTTGTCTTTCTTTCCCTCTATTCGACCCATGAATATCAGATTCTCCAAGCCTTCCTTCCTCATTATGTGTCGCAGAAACTTCAGCTGCCTCTTCCTGAACATCAAGATGAGACAGCAGCAGAATTAGTAGCTGTTAAAATAGTATTAGTTGTAGCAGTGAACGCCGTATTGGTATCGTTTGAGAGGAGGAGGAAAGGGAGAGAGGACAGCCATGACTGAGATTTAGCAAGGGAAAAGAGAGAACTACACGCATTGATTTATTGTAAACTGTAGAAGTTGAGCGATCATCTGTTCTGTTCTTTTAACCTAACTACCGCACTGTCTCTAACAGAGCGTGTCTTTCTTCTTATGATGTTCGATCTTTACTGTTCGCCGATCTTTTTAGGTCAAAAAACAAAAACAAACATCGACCTTGATGGAGGGGGGAAAAAAAAGAAGACTTATTTTTAATGAAATGTCTATTTGCTTACTTCAGCTGTTATTAATATGCCATTAGTATAGAAAGCTTTTCACTGGCGATAAAGTGACAGCAAGACTTCGGTACACTAGCGTTCTCTTCAATTCTTCCTTAATTTCCGTCTCACTTCAACATCTGTCCGATCATGGCTCTCCACAATTTCCAGTCATTTGCAGTTCTTATGGGTTTACAGCGACATCTCGTTGGAACACCGGTTCCCGTAAGATCACCGAAGTAAGGCAACGTCGAGCCTGGTCAGTACATAGATGGGTGACCACATGGGAATAGCAAGTGCTGTAAGCTTGGATATAAGGGTGGCATGGCTTACGGCCATATCACGTTGAAACACCGGCTCCCGTACGATCACCGAAGTAAAGCAACGTCGAGCCAGGTCACTACATAGATGTGGGACCTCATGAGAATACCAGGTGCCGTAAGCTTGGATATGAGGATGGCATGGCTTACAGCCATATCATGTTGAAACACCGGCTCCCGTACGATCACCGAAGTTAAGCAACGTCGAGTCTGTACCTAGATGAATGATCGCTTGAGAATACCACGCGCTGCTATAGCTGAGTCTTCTTTGGATTTTATCAAGAATCACACAATGTATAGGAGGAGAACCGGACCATATGTAGCGGGCCGGTAGTACGCGTTGTGGGATAAACACGTGTGTCTCCTGTAAATGCGCACAACAAACATGGCAGACTCGGAGTACGAGTCCACCTAAATATATGTAAAGAAAAAACAAGAATCGATATATATGTACAAACAAATAATAATGTATTAACAAACAAAGGTTTACAAGTGACAAAGACAATAATGTGTATAACAAATGTATATGGTAGCTTTTTGGTCCAAAGTATTTGAAGTGAGTGTATATGCGTACGTACGTATGTGTGTATATAATGTTCATGCCCGTCCCAAAAAGGGAACGCGTTCTTCCACTGGAAATTTACATTTTGACGTCTATACGGAAAAATGAGAAAAAAGAGTGATAAATGATATCGCCGAATATTTATAGACGAGAAAACGGCTCCTAGTAGCGGTTTCAAACATTAGGAGGAGTTAACTCGACACCTATGTGCCAGCAATATTCAAAGCATGGACGAATAGTAGACGTATAGATATGTTGGATAAATTCTGGAGAGCATGACAGTGAAACGACATCATTAGCATCTGACCTAATAATGGATTCATTATAGTCTTTCCACTTCATGTCAAAAGGGAACGTTAGCCCAATAAGATGCAACGAGTCACTTTTCACCAGAAACAAAACAAGGTCTTCTGTAAATGGATTCCGCGTTTTTGTAATGTCACTGGTTTCTCATTTTGTAATAATCACTGCCTTTTTCATGCTTTGTAGACATGCAAAACCCATTTTTCATTCCCTGTAAGAATGCGATGTAAAAATGAAAGGTTTGTATCCTTGGTTAAAAGACTGCTGCAGATGCCGGAACGCAGTGTTCGGTTCGCAAGCAAAAGCTCATGAGGAACCGGAAATAGAATTTACGGTTGCATCTAGCCAGCTCGATTTTAAATTAGTGAGACCTAGTTGCCAATCTAGTAATGCGCTTAAATTCGAAGAGTCTAGGCATCATAGCGAACAGCTCATCCGAACAATTACTATGAAAATATCTATAGAAGAGGCAAAAGTAGGAAACCTTACGGCGGTGGGGAAAATGTATGAAAACGAGATGCTAGGGCAAGACCAATAATATTGCTGATTCTTTGTATTTTATCAAGGAGCTCTTGATAGACAGCAGGAGCCCCTGACCATATCTGGCAGCAACATTATAAACATGGGCGAATGGTAGACTTAGAGATATGTAAGATAGACTCTGGAGAACAGAATTGTTTAGCACGACACCAATATTATTGGCAGCTGACCTAGCAATGGCTTCAGTCTTCAGGTCAGCCGAGAATGTTAGCCTGAGAAGGCGCAACGATTTACTCTTTTTGATATTTTTAGGTTGAAAGGTGTATTTTAGATCATTAATATATAGCAGTTTCGTTTTGGGAGTGTTAAAATTAACAAGACTTTCTTTGCCCCAGTTAACCATAGACTTTAGACCGATGTCAATTTGACCTTATCAAACTGATCAGACTTACTGAATAGACAGGAGTAAATCGTTGTGTCATCAGCATAGATACCAACTTGAGAACTGATGCCATAAAGATGGTTGTTAATGAAAAATTTAGAACAACGTAGAACCAAGGATAGAAAGCGGGCGGGGGTGGCACCTTCATTAGTAGAAAAGGATCTAGAAGAGTGGCCGTTCAGGTCGATTTTCATGATTTCATAAGAAACACTGAATCAGTTCCAAAATTCGTCTGGAGACACCATAACTTTTCAACTTGTGAAGGAAACCGGTATGCCAAACCCTAGCGAACGCTTTAAAGATGTCGAAAGCAACGACCTGATCTTCACCATTTTTATCTAAAGCTTGATAGACTCTTTCCAGAATAATCGTTAATATATCAACAGTTGACCGAGAGAAACGAAAGCCATATTGCTCGAAATCCCTGCGATGTGAGAGGTTTAACTAATTCAGCGTTTATTAGACCCTCTAGTCAGTCTATCAGTTTTGTGCCATGTGTGATACACGCTTAGGCGATCATATTTCTTTTGATACATGACTGACGAAGCAGATTTTTTCCCGCTATAGGTTGCCATTTCTTTCTGCAGTAGACAAGTTGCCATCCAAGGCTATAGAACCCCATCTCTCTTGCTATTTACCCATAGCTGGGAGGAGAAGACGAGGATTCATACTATTCCCAAGGGTATAAGCACGTAAGTGAATATAATGGATTCGACTGGAATTCGAAATCGAAAAGTTAGAGGTGAATAGGCCTATAGTTGGAAGGGTCGGACGGTTCACTTATGTATGTATGTATGTATGTATGTGTACCTGTGCGCTTGCGCGTGTGACTGTGTGTCTGCGTGTGTGTATGTTGTACTGATTATAACTTGTGAAAAAAATTAACGCATATATTTAAATTTCAATTAAATTATTTTTTTAAATACACGGAACGAACAACAAATGTGTTCAAAGAATTCAAAAAGTAAAAATTAATTTTCTTCAAATTTTTAAAGTGCTTCATTTTATTTCATTTTTTTTTTTTTGTTTAATTTTCATTAGTAAATTTTGGATTGAAACTAAAATATTTCAAGTGGGTACAAAAAAGTCTTCATGACATTGATGTCTTGTTAAGATAAAACGGAAAAAAAAAAAGGTTCAATTTATTTTTCCTTGCTTTAAATGGGGTAGGCGTATCAATGTTATTAGAAAAGAGGAATTAATATCAATGACTCGTGTATGTGTCTGTGTATGTGTGTGTGTGTCTGTGTATGTGCGTGCTTGCTTATTTGTTTAAATTCACGGATATATTTAAATTTCTGTGATGTAATTAGATAGAAACCAGCGAGAGTTCATTTTGAATATAAGAAAAAGATGGATTAAATTTTTCTGAATGTTGAAAGTCATTCATTTGTGTGGAATTTGTTTTTTTTTTATTCCGATCTAAATTTATTTTTATTTTATTTTATTTTTAGGAGAGGAACGTAATATTTGTTTAAACAAAGATGCGTTATTCTATATAAAAGTGTATTTTTAGGATGCAGTTAGATTTTCTTTAAGAAAATAATTTTTTTTTTATTTCTTGGTGAAATTAAACGCTGTCAAAAGAATTTAAATTATCATGTGGAAGTAAACGAAACAGCTCTAAAATGGGTTTTCGCTTAAATATGTACGCTATAATACCATATTGGTCTCTCCCCACGACTGTGAAAATATCATGCACGATTTTAGAATGTAAATAAAATGTGAAAATAGACCCTGATTTTGTGTCCGTTTTCATACATACATACATACATTCATATATATATATATATATATATATATATATATATATATATATATATTGACGTCTATATCCACTCATATATATATATATATATATATATATATATATATATATATATATATATATATATATATATATATATATATATATTTGAAGTCTGTGTCCACTCATATATATATATATATATATATATATATATATATATATATATATACTGATGTCTATGTTCACTTGAGGAGTCACGGTTGATAGTGGCTCGGATTGAAGAATCGGAGAGCCGAGTTCGAATTCCAGTTGAATCCATTACATTCACTGACGAGCTAATAACATTGGGAAAGGTATGGGCAAATAGCAGGACACTTTCGACTCGTATCATTTTCCAGTTGTTCCGCTTTCCAGACGTACAACTTTCCAATTGTATATCTTTCCATTCGTACAGCTTTTCAGACGTACTGCTTTCCAGTCTTACCGCTTTTCAGTCGTACCGCTTTCCAGCCATACCACATTCCGTTCATTTACCTTTCCATTCCTACATCTTTCCCATCGAACAGCTTTCCAGTCATATAGCTTTCCAGTCGTACAGTTTTCCAGTTGTTCTGCTTTCCAGCCATACGACTTTCCAGTCATACCATTTTCGAGTCATACCACATTCCAGTCGGACCACTTTCCAGTTATACCGCTTTCCCGTCGTACAACTTTCTAGTCGTACCGTTTTCCAGTCCTTGGCGTTTCCCGTCGTACAGCTTTCCAGTCGTACCACTTTCCAATCATACAACTTTCCAATCGTATCACTTTCCAGTCCTACACTTTTCCAGTCGTACCATTTTCCAGTCCTACACCTTTCCCGTCGTACAGCTTTCCAGTCTTACACATTTCCAGTCGTACTGCTTTCCAGTCGTATGCACTGACCTGCTGTATTCTCAATCCATCTCATGTAATTAACCAGTTATTTACTCCAACTTTCATTCTTTTCTTTACAGTTTTACTAACCAGCAGCTGCGCGCGTTATACGGACTTTATAACAGAAAAGTAGTCTTGGGTTTGACGATATATTACATCCGGCAGTAAGGCCAACAATCTGGAGATTGGAGGTTTTGAGTAGTGTGAAACAGACTCGAAATTGCTCTTGTTCGCAGCTCTACACTGAGGCGGGGTGGTATCACCTGTTAGGGTCCAAGTTATGGGCAAATAGTTAATGCCCAAACAAAAAGAAAACACTCAGTATAAAAATACGTTTTATAAGAAAAATACCAACAATACCTTGTAAAAAAAATTACCAACAATAAAATTTATAGTAAAAATTACCAACAATACATTTTTTTTTGTAATTGGAGGCATACGATTGCACTCAAATTATGTTTAGTTGAAGCCATAAAATTGTTTCAATATATTTAGATTTCGGCATTTAATTACCCACAGAGGTGTTGATATCCCGGTAAGCCAAATGACAACAGAAAGAAATACTTTGTACCAAAAAGTAATACTTTGTGTTGGTTCAGTCATGACTACTACGTAATTCCGTGAGCACATCAAAATAACATGTTCACTCTTCCGGGCTTGTTGTCTTCTCTGCTGGAATTTCTTAATTTTGCAGTAGTTATGCGTGGTTTGGTGTAATTTGATATCTTTTTATAGATCTGTGGTTTTTACACTAATTGAGTTTTGTTGTCTTATATATATATATATATATATATATATATA